ATATTTATTATATATAAAATAAAATTAATATAGTGCATTTTCTTTACAGTAAATTTAAACTACTATAACTTTTTGATACTTAAATTTTTTTGGAAAAATTCCACTTTTGCGATAATTTGCTGATTTTCCTCTTTAAAAAGAGACCAACCTTATGTCTGTATTCCAAAGTGTTCATAAATTACAACAATTTAAGTTTGGATAGTGCACCTGCATGCCTATTTTAAAAAATGGGGGGTGACAGTTAATTCAAGAATGCTCCTTTTTTAAACAACAAGAAGATAAACTTTATCAGTTTGAATTAAAAGGCATCAAAACTCTAGAAAGCAGAAGCAAGATAGTGCACATCCTAGTAATATCTATGAAATCAGGGTTTCTTAGAAAATTCTGAACACATGCAGCCCTTCCTTTCAAGAAAGAACTAAATAAAATTCATCACTTGGGCTTATTTGTTGATGACGGAATTGTGTTCTCTCTTTAACTTTGTAGTACAGGCCAAACTCTTGTTTTTTCTTTCTCTTTCACTTTTTCTTTAAATGGCCTTGTTACATCCTCTATAAGGCACTTTTGTGTAGCTGTTTTGTCCCTGTATATTCTGGAGTGATCCCACCGCAGTATAAAGGTGAGGTGAGTAAAACTGTTTGTACCGTAAGTGCCTAAAAACTGCAGAAATGCACTAAACCATCAGACAGCCCAGAATAAGCTATAAAAACAACACCCCTGTATATTCCCAGCACTATATGGATGGAGGTTTCACAAACATCCAGCCCTTCGAGGATTCCTCTCCCACCCTCACCATCTCGCCGTTTGCTGGACACATGGACATCTGTCCGTCCGATACCTCCACCATCCTGTGCGATGCTATCATCCAGCAGCTCTCCTTCCAGTGCTCCGTCACTAACTTCATCAGGCTGGTGGACGCCTTGTTTCCTCGGGACTGGAGGGTGAGATCTGGAACTGTGTCCTGACACAGACACATAGAAGTCTATGGTGCTTTTTTTCTTTTCAGAATAAACACAAACCTGAACACCTGGATAGAAACAAAGAGCTTGAACATTGTGTAACTTTTTCTTGGCCCATTAAAAAAAAAAGAAAAATGGTGTATGGTTTAATAATTGGAATGATTTCACTCAGAAATTGCTAATACATTTAACAAATAATTACAAAGAAACAGTAGCTACAAAACGTGAAAAGACTGAAGTAGTAGGTTTTTTTACAGTGTAATATGGGTGAATAAATTATGACGTCATTTTTAGCAGCTACGTTTCTCTCATTATTAACTGCATTTATTGTTGATTGTCAGATTCTGAAGAGGGCTTTCTACAGTGGGTACCAAGATACCGTATACTTCCTGCAGCAGAGCAGTGAGTTTTAATCAGATTTGTATTACTATCATTATTATTATTCATTTATATTTAAAGTTGAAGTACTCATAGGTATGTGTACACTTACTTTTTTTGCATTTGGTAAGAGTGATACATACAATGTCAGCGTATGGAGGACTAAAACATGCTTTAAACCCTTTCATGTCAACAATTGTAGAGATGCACAAATGCTTGTGAGTCTTTTGCTCTATTTGTGTTGGAAATGTTCAGACACACCAATCTTAAAAGGTCCATGAAATTAAACAGAGGAGTCACTAATATTTCCAAAGTCGTTTACATTTTAGAGGATGTTCGTACATTGAAATTATAAATATTAGTGTTCATGCAAACAAAATAAAAAAAAGTATGAGCTAGAACACATTTTTTATACAAAAACACTACCATTCAAAAATGTTGGGGTCAGTAAGATTTTCATTCATTCTTTCGTTGGTTGGTTGGAAAGAAATTAAGTAGTTTTGTTACGTATGGATGCATAAAATTAACCAAAAGTGACATTAAAAAAAAAAAAAAATTTTTTACATTGTTACAGAAGATATCTATTTAAAAACTGCTGTTCTTTTGAACATGCTATTCATCTGAGAATTTCTCCAAAATGTATAAATGTACAAAAATTTCGGAAAATGTTTAGTAATGCACTGAAAATATTCATCCAAAAGTGAAACAACCGAAACAGAAAATAGACTTACTTTTGATATGAAACAAAGTCCCAGCTTTCAAATTCTGTAAATTTACAATTTCACTACATAATTTTTTGTAAATTTGATTAAAACATTCCAGGATTATTCTCCTTATAGTGGACTTCAACGGCTACCAAACGGTTGAAGGTCAAAATTACAGTTTCAGTGCAGCTTCAAAGGGCTCTACACGATACTAGACGAGGAATAAGGGTCTTATCTAGCGAAACGATCGGTCATTTTCTAAAAAAAATAAATAAATAATTTTTATATGCTTTATAAACAGAAATTTTGCTTTATAAACAGAGCCTTGCACTGCTCTGCGATGCGCGTCCACGACTTCACGTAATACGTAATCACGTTGAAAAGGTCACGCTTGACGTAGGCAGAAGTACCGACTCAGTGTTTACAAATGTGGAGAAGAAGGACCGTTCAAAAGTTGTTGTATGTTCAATGGCACATATTCAAATTTTTTTTTGAGTCGGTACTTTTTAAATCATATTTCTATCACTGGCGAAAAAATATTTTGTCTTACATTAAAATAGACAAATTTAATTAGCCTATTCTATTTACGTTAGTATGTGAAGTCGAAATCAACCCCAACTTTGCTTTAAAAAGCATTGCAAGATCTCCTAACCGAAGATCACATGATCACAAACGGAAATCACTTCCGTGAAGTGTCTAGCGAAACGATCGGTCATTTTCTAAAAAAAATAAATAAATAATTTTTATATGCTTTATAAACAGAAATTTTGCTTTATAAACAGAGCCTTGCACTGCTCTGCGATGCGCGTCCACGACTTCACGTAATACGTAATCACGTTGAAAAGGTCACGCTTGACGTAGGCAGAAGTACCGACTCAGTGTTTACAAATGTGGAGAAGAAGGACCGTTCAAAAGTTGTTGTATGTTCAATGGCACATATTCAAATTTTTTTTTGAGTCGGTACTTTTTAAATCATATTTCTATCACTGGCGAAAAAATATTTTGTCTTACATTAAAATAGACAAATTTAATTAGCCTATTCTATTTACGTTAGTATGTGAAGTCGAAATCAACCCCAACTTTGCTTTAAAAAGCATTGCAAGAGCTCCTAACTGAAGATCACATGATCACAAACGTAAATCACTTCCGTGAAGTGACCATCGCATGTTCCCTTCGCTAACGGACTTCTGGAAGGGCCCTTTGTGAAGGGATTCAGTTGTTCACTTTCGCTTGGAACGTCCCTACAAATGGGGTCCCCTTCCCGAAGTGCCCTTCAAGGGCACAAAAAAGCCGTTTGGAATTCGCCCTCAATGATGTCAAGGCTGTAATGTGATTGGCTATTAAGGCACACGTGACAAGTTAGCCGTTACGCTTTCTCCAATAGTAAGTAATACAGACCCTCTCATCTCCTTATAGTAAAATAATCTCTGCCTTCATCTGCAGCTGCTTTGTTTACGGGGTTTCCAGAGTAACGGCTGCATTTCTGCTTCTCAGCGCCATCTGCTGTCAGAGAGTGAATGTGCGCGTCATCCAGATGAATGTGCTTTCATTCATCACAGCGCCAAATACTTAAATATTTAGAATTAATAGGCTATTTATTCTCAAACTTTTTTACAGTTTAATCTGGACTACAACATGCCCTTGATATTGTTTGAAAGTGTTTTGATTCTTCATTGTTCGGTCACACTTTACATTAGGGCTTCATTAGTTAACATTAGTTAATTCATTAGTTAACATAAACTGCCAATGAAAAATTCTTCTGAACATTCATTAATCTTAGGTA